TGGAGAAATGGCTCAGTGGTTAAGAGCACTGGCTGCTTTTGCAGAGGACCCAAGTTCGAGTCCCAGCACCCACATGGTGGCTAATAACTGTCCATAACTCCTGTTCCAGGGGATCCAACACCCTCCTCTGACCTCTGTAGGCATTGCATGACACGAGTGCACTTACATACATGCAGGCAATACACTCATACACATAAAATAAAAATAATAAATAAAGGGGAAAAATAAATGAAAATAAAAAAAGCAATGGAACACCTTTTTTTAAAAAATATTATTTAAAAAAGGAAGAGACTAAAACATTGGTCTGTGACAAACTGACCCTTAGTTCAGCTGGATCCAAAACTCAACTGTGAAAAAGCAAAGCTTGAAACTTGGAGAATATGTGGAGATTTGTGAAGGAGTGAGAAGTTTTTTAACACAACTCAAGAGTAAGACATTAATCATTTTAATTATATGAAAAATTAAAGCCAGTTTTGGTGAGACACCATGAGTGAGGTATCTCCTGGTGTGCAGAAAATGTGTGGGGGCTACACAGGCAATGGGCTCAGTATCTGAACCCCTGCATCAAGAAGAAACAGGTTGACACAGTGATGAATTGTCAGGTGACCTTTAGCCCCAAAAGTGTGTGTGTGTGTGTGTGTGTGTGTGTGTGTGTGTGTGTGTGTATGTGCAGTTGGAAATGCCCTGGCTTTTGGAAGGGGAACACGATGTAAGAGATTAACTTTCACTGTCACCTGACTAGCCCAGGGCTGTCCCTACCTCCAGGCCTCTCAGGAGAGGCCCTACCCAGGGCCTTCCCTAGACCAGCCCTCCTTCTCTGCCTCCTGCGAATTGTGACTTGTTCAGTAGCTGAACAGGAGAGGCTGACTAAGGTCTTTTGTTCTTTTTTTTATTGGGGGTGGGTTGGTTTTAGTTTAAAAAAATACTTTATTATTTCTATTTTAATGTGTATGAGTGTATTGCCTGCACATATGTAAATGCACCCATGTCATACAGTGTCCATGTCGGTCAGAAGAGAGCATTAGATCTCCTGGAACTGGAGTTACAGACAGTTGTTAGTCAACATGTGGGTGCTGGAAACTGAACCTGGGTCCTCCGCAATAGTGGCCAGTGCTCTTAACTTGCTGCAGACCTCATTGGTACTTTTTCAGCCCTTAGTGAATGAATCCTTGCGTGCTCTGAAAAATCACTTGTCCTGGCTTCCCTTGAAATGCAGGGAACTACTTTGCTAACTGCTGGTCACAGGAACACCTCAGCCCAAGTCAGAAGAATGCCATCCCACTAAGGCATGCTAGGTTTTTGCAGGGAACTGGTCTAGCCCCCAGTGCAGATAAGATGGAATGCAGCTCCCGTGCCCTACTGACCTCAGGACTCTGCATTTTCCTGGTGGCTTCCTTGTGACCACTTGCCTTCGCTGAAGGTTGGTTTGGATGCTATATGCTATACAGGTTCATCCCTGGGATCAGAAGCATCCTTTGGGAGTCAGACCCCAGGATTCTGGCTCTACTTCTGAAACCAGGCAGCAGAAACAATCTTGGCAAGATCCTCCTGCCCCCTCTCTTCCAGATATGGCATCTCAGAAGGAAGTAGGGGAATCCCAGCACTGTGCTGTGCCCACACACTGGGGAACCTTCCTTCTGGAAGGAGGATTTGGTGTTTGATCTCCCCAAGGAGCCATTGCATGTTTTTGTTTCTTTCCAGTTAATTTTTGCAGTATTCATTTTGCCTTAAAAAAAAATCTGTGATTTTTAGGGATTAGCAAAGTATAGATGTTATTTATTTAATTTTTAAAATTTATTTTTTAACTTTTTAAAAACCACACTGGGGAACCTTCCTTCTGGAAGGAGGATTTGGTGTTTGATCTCCCCAAGGAGCCATTGCATGTTTTTGTTTCTTTCCAGTTAATTTTTGCAGTATTCATTTTGCCTTAAAAAAAAATCTGTGATTTTTAGGGATTAGCAAAGTATAGATGTTATTTATTTAATTTTTAAAATTTATTTTTTAACTTTTTAAAAACATTTTATTATTTTTATTTTATGTGTGTCCTGCAGAGGCCAGAAGAGGGTGTCAGATCTCCTGGAACTGGAGTTACAGATGGTTGTTTGCTGCCACGTGGGTGCTGGGATCGAACCTGGATCCTCTGGAAGAACAGCAAGTGTTCTTAACTGCTGAGCCATCTCTCTAGTCCCTTAAATTATTATTTTATGTGCATGAGTATTTTGCCTGCATGTATGTAAGTGCAATGCCATCAGAGGCCAGAACTGGAGTTACAGTTGTTTATGAACTGCCATGTGGGTTCTGGGAACTGAACCTGGGTCCTCTATACACACCCCTAA